TTCGCTCTTTCCCTACTTTTTCTTCCCCTGCATACCAGTATTTTTGTTTTACTTGTATTTATTTTCATACAGTATTGTTTTGTCAATACCGCTTCCACAAAATGGACAAACGGTTGAGTACTTTACTTTAGTTATTTCTTTTTAAGGTTTTGAGCATTTTTATACATTTCCTGCCTTACACTCTTGCTGTCCTTACATCAATTACCCACTATTTATCTTAGTCAAGTAAGGGAGGCAGAAAAATCAAATTTGACAAAAAATACTGATAAAATACATCGGAAAAATTGAGGGATACGAAAATCGGAATAGGTTAGGCCCCATGATACTCTTTTCGGCGAAAACAGAGCAGGAAAAATCTAAAACCACTTTCTTAGCTTGGTATCGATAAAACATTTCGAAATACGTTTTACTTAGTACAGTATTTTGTTTTGAGTTTTCTACTTTTTTTATTGAGACTGGGTATTTGTTTAGAATTTTATACAAAATTATGACTTAGGTACTTTATACTTAGCAGTTATAATATATATATTTTTAAGATCAAAGCAAGTTTAATTTAATTTATTTCAAGTTTGATATAATTGTATAATAAAATTTTGATCGTTGAATCATAAAAGGTAATTCTATAACGTACTGACTAGCTTTTTTCAAAATTTCACACTAGAAAACAAAATTCTTTTACTACTAGATAATTTCAAAAGTCAAGGAAGTTTACCTTCATTTATTATTATCTTCTGTAATTAATTTTCTAACGTTTGATTGAATCTTGCAGCAACATAGTTAACAAGAAGAGGATAACAAGAGATATTAAAAAACTAAAATCGATGAAAAGCTTAAATATAGCAATAATATGAACTCATTGAAGACATTTTTGGTATTTGTTGTCATCTTACTCCTGATGGTTCAAGTTCAGGGCTTTTGTCTTCCATTATCAAAGAAATTGAGCTATTTGCTATAGGTATGTACGCATGTACCTACCATCTTACAATGTATCGGTTGGCTAATCCTCTTGATCTTCTTTTGCTGGGTATTTTCAGAAACTGTCTGTTTTTGGGTGCCCAATTTAGTCACCTCCCAATGTTTTATTAAATAGGTACCTTTCCTATAAAAAATTCCACCATAACAAGGAATGTAAATCAATAAAAATTTATTTTCTGATGCATTTGTAGTGGATNTGGTGGCCAAAATTCAGCTATTTGCTATAGGTATATACCTATTGTATTGTACCTACCTTCCAGCAGTGTATCGGGTAGTTAATCAGCTCGATCTTTTTTTAGTGGGTATTCTCAGAAACTGCCTGTTTTCGGGCCCAATTCGGTCACCCCCCAATAATTTATTAAATAGATACAATTCTCATTAAAAATTCCACCAAAACAGAGTAGAAATAATCTGAAACCATTTCTTAACCAGGTACCTATCCATAAAACTTTTGGAAATACATTTTGCTAAGTACAGTATTTTGTTGAGTTTCTAAATCACCAAAAATGCCTACTCCAACAGGTGGGCCCATATTTTATTTGCCTATGCATGGGCACCTGATTGTTTTATGTTATAAGAATATGAAAACAAGTGAATTCATTTAGATATATTGTTAATTTTTGGGAGTTATTGATATATTACCCTGAGCCATCAGTTTCCTCAATTTCTGATTTCTGTTGAAAACAAACAGAAGAAAATTGAACAAATTGTACTTTATGCCATTATTGTAATGACATCAGAATACAGTATCGCGGTTCACTATATTCTAGTGAATAATAGATATTTATGTAAATAATTAACGTTATTTTGCAACAACAACAAAAATCAGAATTCGTTGATGTAGTTCAAATCATCGACGGTGCGCTTGATTTATAAAAATATTTAATAAAAACAAAGTAACGGACAATAAATTCTTCGTTTTATATTTATTATTAAGGAAAATTTTCGTTTATTATAATATCATTGTGACATCTTATTGTGTTCTTTCAAAACAAATTTTCAGGAATTTCAAGTTGACTTTATGGCACCTGTAAACAATAGTAGCTTATTATTGATAAAACATATTCAAAATAACAGAGTCCTGCACATTATCCTTGTACATTTTGTCAATCAATATTCATCGTCATATCAGCAATGGAAAACGAATGCAAGGTTTTCACCTTCAGATCTCAGATGGCACTTGAATAAAGTTTTCGGAAAATTGTATTTAATAGTCATTGAAAGAACTTAACGGAAAAGTCTTTTTAAGCACTATAAAAAATTTTAAAAAAATCTAGACAGCCAAAATGTCTTCTTATTATTGAAAAAAAAAAACAAATGATTTATAGGTCTACTTGATATTTACGTACATATCTCTGATTTACATATATTTTATAAATACATGTTAGCGTTCGATTCTCATCCCTTAATAATCCATCACTACTTTCAACTAATTTTATCGATCCTCTTCGCCTTCATTAGAGCAAATCCTTATTAAGTTCATTATGTAGCATTAAATGAACATAAAAAAAACTTTTATTTTTTAGCGTCTTTTGTATCATGGAATGTTCTCTTCTATCATATACAATTCGCAGTCACGTTTTTTCTATTGTTTACCATATACGAGGTACAACCGGAAAGTTTCTGATGAACCAACAATAAGTAGTTTCGTAATTTGATGTGCAACGGCAATTCGATGGCACCTATCAAATTTGAAATTAATCCGGTTTGTCCATAATTTGATCCTTCCTCCAATGCATAAATTACTCTTTTAGAGAACAAAATATAGGGTTGTTCGGAAAGTCATTTCGTTTTTTTTTTTTGTGGAAATGAAAGACAGTTTTCGTATAATAAACAAATACTTTATTAAATTATATATTGACCGTTCTGGTCCAACACCTTTTGCCATCTTTCTGGTGGTAGCATAATTCCACGCTCATAAAATTTTTGGTCTTTGCTGGCAAAAAACTGATCGAGGAGGTTTTTGACCTCCTCATTTGAGGTGAAGGTTTTACCGTCTAAAAAATTTTGGAGTGACCGGAACAAATAATAATCCGATGGTGCCAGGTCTGGAGAATATGGTGGGTGTAGCATTGTATCCCATTCAAGCTGTAAAAGCTTTTGGCGAGTGACCAAACTTGTGTGAGGTCTCGCGTTGTCTTGGTGAAACACTACACCTTTCCTGTTGATTAGTTCTGACCTTTTCTGTTGAAGTGCATCATTCAGTTTGTCCAGCTGATGACAGTAGACTTCCGAATTAATCGTTGTGTTATCCGGTAAAAGCTCAAAAAAAACGATTCCTTTAAAATCCCACCAAACAGACAGCATCACCTTTTTTTGGTGAATATCGGCTTTGGAAATGGTTTGAGCCGGTTCATCTTTTTTGCTCCATGACCTCTTGCGTTTGACGTTGTTGTATACAACCCATTTTTCGTCCCCAGTGATGATGCGCTTCAAAAACGGATCATTTTCGTGACGTTTGAGAAGCGAATCGCAGACGTCAATGCGGCGACACAGATTTCTCTCTGTGAGAACATGGGGAACCCATACATCGAGCTTCGAGGATAATCCCAGGCCTTTCAAGTGGTCATAAACTGTTGAATTTGATAAATTTAACCTCAATCCGATCTCACGTGTTGTTATTCGCCGGTTCACATCAACTAATGCCTTTATCGCGTCTTTATCAGCTTCAACCGGCCTTCCCGAACGTGGTGCATCTTCGACATCAAAATTGCCGGATCGAAATTTAGCGAACCAGTTCTGGCACTGGCGTACTGTCAACACACCTTCTCCATACACATCAGTCAATTTCTTTCTGGCTTGAACAGCATTTTTACCCTTTCTGTAGTAAAACAGTAAGATATGTCGAAAATGGTGCTTATCGCTCTCCATATTTAAAAGGGCACCAACCAAAAACTACTGCGTAGAATTAATTGGAATTTTTCACACACAAGCCTTGCTATATGAGCTCTCAAAGCATATAAAAATTACGGCTTAAATGTGAAGTTGGTTGCAACAGAATACAATTAAATCCTCTGTCGGAAAAAAACGAAATGACTTTCCGAACAACCCTATAGTAGGTATAATACAAGGTACTTGAAAGATGTAAAAAATATTGAAAGAAACATAGTTTTTCCCAATATTTCAACCATTTATTATCCAGGCATATGAACAAAAAGGACAAACTAGGACATTCTTGTAAATCCCTTTTTTCAAACAGTGCACGAAGAAAACTAAATTTTTATGATAACGCAATAATTACAATTTTCGATTGTAAATGACTGAATTTGTCGTAGAAACAGTAGAATTTATTACGTACCTTGTATAATAATCTCAATTTTGACATGTGTCTCAAGTTTCTTATTATTACAATTAAATTTGTATTATCAACTACAATACGTAGTAAATTTATTTCTGCTGGGATTTTATTTTTATGAATTCAAGGTCAAATTGTAATTGTTATTATTTTCGCTTACGAAGCAACGGGCTAGTGGGATAAATTGTAAACATCGCTTTAATATTTTGGTAAATTTTTGTTTTTAATTTTCTCCGTGTGGTAAAGTTTCTTTTTTTATATTTAGTATTAAAATGTAGTAAAGTAAGCTGAAAATTTCTAACACTAAGAATGGTTCCAAGAAAAGAATATGTTAATGTTGTTTCGAATAGTTTAACTCATAAATTCACCAGGAATAATAATTTTTCATTTAGTCTTGCATATTTGGTATTGGTTTTAATCTTGGTCTTGCTCGTTAGATTTGTCTTGGTCTTCGTCTTGTGTTTTTGCAAGACGACCAACAAGCCTGCACCACCAAGACCAATATGGCAAAAAAAACCCGTTTGATTGTTTCTATTTATAAACTAAAATGAAATGAGGAAATAAAAATTGGTTACACTTACTACTTAATGGAGTCAATTAAAAAGAAAAAGCATTCCCACACTTGTGGCATATGAGTTTATTGTGGTCGGGGGGTTTATGCGCACGCTAAGGGTAGTTTAGATATAAAATCAAAACGCCACATTTATGCGATCATTTACAAAGTGTTTTCCAAACATCTCCCAACTCTCAAAAATCTACCGAGTCGTACGCAGGTAAGCAACCACCTTCAATTTGTTTATAATTACGATTAAGTAGTCCTATTTTCTTTGATTGATTTGATTTGTTTCAAGAAAATATTTTATTAACTACGTAGGCATTGTAGAAAATTTTAGAGAAGGCGAGAAGTTTTGTTACTAAATTTTTTGAGGTTTAAGCAACGATAATAATAAAAAAATGCTTATAAATTGTTTACAATGCATTACCAAAAAGTGAGTAAAATTTATTGACATTAGTGCGTCTTCACTTATTGATAGTTAATGAAAGATGAAAACTGAATGAGAAGACCAGAACATAATAATAATTACAGGATTTTATTAATTAATAATAATAAGCTGTGGTTCATTTATATAAACCAAAAGCGAATAAGTCATTTAAATATGTCTCTTTGGCGTTAGATTTGGTACAGTAACTTTTTGATATGCATCTATAATAACGAGTGGAACACAAAATGGCATTAAATAATATTTTTTTTAAAGTTAATATAGAGGAAGGAATATAAAGATAGGAGACGAAAAATTAGAAGAAGTGGCTGATTTTAGATACCTAGGAAGTCAGATAAGTCAGGATGGAAGGAGTAGTAGGGATATAAAGCAGAGGATAGCGCAGGGTCGTGTCGCCTTTAATAAAAAGAAGTCACTTCTATGCTCGCGAACGGTTAATTTAGAAATTCGAAAAAGGTTGTTAAAGGTGTATGTTTGGAGCACGGCGTTGTACGGGTGCGAAACATGGACAGTGGGAGCGGCGGAAAAGAAAAGGTTAGAAGCGTTCGAAATGTGGTGTTATAGGCGGATGATGAGGATATCGTGGGTAGAAAAGGTTAGAAATGAAGAGATATTGGAAAGAATAGGAGAACAGAGGACTCTATGGAAGTCTATAAAAAATAGGCGAGATAGGTTGGCAGGACACCTTCTTAGGCTTGAAAGTCTAGTCAGAGGCATTATGATGATGATGATGATGATAGAGGAGGAAATAATATTGGTTATAAGTAAAAACTACAGTTTTATGCTAATTTTGCGATTGATTAATCTTAAAAAAACAAACAATTGGAAATTTATTTACTTAGGTATGATAAAGAGTAATTCGAAAGACGAAGGGCCCAAAAAGGTTAAATTACACAATTTTGTAAAAATCATTAATATTTGATATGGCTCTCATAGTTTATTTTTAATTATTAAACAGTATTGACTGGCTTTCTGTTTCTTCTTAAAAACCCGAGTGAAAATATGTAACTGCATGTAACTTTTCCTATTTTACTGAAATAAACACAGATAAATGCATCTATACATTTATTTAAATAAAAAAGTATTTAGTTTCCCAAAAAGAATGCGTTTTATCTAAAATAAACAAATATTGGGTTCGCAGTGTGTAAAACTAACGTAAATGTAAATAATCAATTCTCTCTGATTCGCATGTATATTCAATGTAATGGGTAATAAAGGTGGTCATAAAACAACTGGAAAAAATGACCGTTAGTGTTTAGTTTCTCTGTAGGTTGTCGAAAGCGTTTTCTTGTAGCCTTTGGCGATCTCTCAGGGAGCTTTTAAAGCTCGAAAAGCCTTCAGACGTCGAGCTTCCCGGCGCGTAACGGTCACTTTCTATCAATAAGTCACTATGCCGTCCACATAAAATTTTTTGAATGATTGAACTTTTCAGCAACGCTTTCAATGAGTGGTTAATCCTTTTTAGAATTTCACTACAACATAAAAACACTCTTTTATGCTGTGATCGATTTTGAACAATTTTATAAAATAAAATTTCATTTTTTTTTGTCGCAAAAGATTACATTCTATTAAACAATAGCACATAGGTGCTTTTATAATTTATTGAGACTGGATATTTGTTTCAATTTTACTCAAAACTATGAGTTAGCTATTTTATATTCAGCTATTATAAAAATTATTTTAATGATTAAAGCAAGTTTAATTTAATTCATTTCAAGTTTGATATAATTGTATAACAAAATTTTAATCGTTGAATCATGGAAGGTAATTCTGTAATGTACTTTTGTAATTTTTTATAGCAAGCGGGTAGCTTATTCCAAAACTCCATACCAGAAAACAAAATTCTTTTACTACTTGATAATTTTTCAACAACTTTTCGTAGTAAATCAAGCAAGTTTACCTTCATTTACTATTATTTTCGACAATTAATTTTCTAGCGTTTGATTGAATCTTGCAGCAATATAGTTAACTATATAGAAGAGGATAACAAGAGCTATTAAAAAAGTAAAATCGACGAAAACTTTAAATAGCAATAATATGAACACATCGAAGACATTTTTGGTATTTGTTGCCGTCTTACTCCTGCTGGTTCAAGTTCAGGGCTTTTATCTTCCATTATCAAAGAGGGTAAGTTACAATTGCCAACTTATTGGTTCATTTATTAAAGAACGCACCCAACAAAAAAGCGGCAGTTTTATTTCAAAACAGAGCACTATAGAAAACGGTTACATAACTTCAAACACATTTAATTAGATTAATTATTTATATATTACGTGAATCTTCAACTGAACATTCACTCTGTAAATATATCCAGTTAATGATCTGATTATTATCATCAGTGCTTTGTGATGTTTGTTCGTAAATCAAACCATAAAATCAATACGTCATGTAAGTCAATCAATTTATAAAGGGTATCTTGAACTTATGTTCAATTATTTTGTTAAATCAAAAACACGGCCCTCACAATTTCAAAAGAAGCGAACGACTTTACAGGGGCGTTAATGATAAAACCACAAAAACCACCAACGCTCGCAAACACCAACAAGTAACATTATATTTGCTGAGTGGTACTGTGGTTTTACGAAAGACATCTGATTGATTAAAATCTATATAACGATAAGATGTATGTTGTTGGAATATTCTGGTAATTTTTTTTTAATCTTTTTAAGGATAATCCATCATCAGCATCGAGTATGGTTGATCCGAAGAAAAGACCTTTCTGTAATGCATTTACAGGTATAAACAATTGTTATAATTTCGGGTGCGTATATAAGAAATGGGGGGTCCTACATGTAGAAACTGAATAGCAAAATATTTAGAATTAAATTTCTGATAGAAAGTTTAAAACTATAAATAATCCATATACGTTTGGTAAAGGTAATATACCTTATTGAGTTAGAAACATTTTGAATTGATACGGTTACTTATTGAATCTGTGGGAAAACTTTATGATTTGGGCTGAAGGGTCTTGGTCTAAATGAACTATTAAATGGTACTATATGGGACAAGTCTTGGTAGCGACTTATAATCCTTCCAAGCGGTTCATGTGTCGAAAAATGTAATGAAAAAGAAAAACTGGTTAAGCATAAAAACATTTAGGTCCTGGCCAAGTACCAAAAGTACCTTTAACTAGAATTGTACAGTAGAGGATGGAAAAAAGGGCGGAAGAACTATTAGGGGAAGATTAATTTGGGTATAGAAGAAATAGAGGAACGCGGGAGGTCATTCTAGCTTTACGGGGAAACAATAGAGAAAACGATAGAAAGAGTGCGTACATAAGATTTGTAGATTTAGAAAAAGCTTTTAACAATGTTAAATGGGTCAAGATGTTAAATATACTTAAAAATGTAGGGATGAGTTACAAAGATAGAAGAGTGATAGTTGGTTTGTATAAAGAGCAACATGCAGTTATAGAGCTAGGGCTGCAACGTAGAGAAGTAAATATTAGGAAGGAAGTCAGACAGGGATGCACACTGTCACCGCTACTGCTTCATTTATACGTCGAAGACGCGATCAACATCATTAGAGACAGTACAACTGTACGGATAGATATACAGGGGCAAAAGATTAGTATGCTTGGATTTGCAGATGACATAGCAGTATTAGCATCTAGCAAGGAGGAGTTAGAGATGACTTTAAATAAAACTAGTGAAGTTTACACTTTAAATAAGAGACAGTCTTATGAATAGAATATACTTCTTGGTAGATTATTAATTTAGTTAAATTTAGGTTAAGATAGGTTAAGTTTTCCTTTTATACTCTTAATTTCAATATCATATCTCTAGAATTAGAAGGGATACAATAACTCTTCTCGATGAGAATTGTATGATCTCAAATAAATAAATAAAATGGAAGCAGTACTCACAAAACAGTACTGTATGAAAATAAATAAACGTGAGACACAATAATGATGTGCAGGGGAAGAAAATGTAAGGAAAGAGCGAATATAAAGATAGGAGACGAAAAATTACAAGAAGTGGCTGATTTTAGACATCTATAAGTCAGGACGGAAGGAGTAGTAAGGATATAAAGTAGAGGATAGTGCAGGGTCGTGTTGCCTTTAATAAAAAAAATCATTTCTATGCTCGCAAATGGTTAATTTAGAGATTCGAAAAAGGATGTTATAGGTGTATGTTTGGAACGCGATGCTGTACGGGTGCGAAACTTGAACGGTGGGCGCTGCAGAAAAGAAAAGGTTAGAAGCGTTCGAAATGTGGTGTTACAGGCGAATGATGAGGATACCGTGGATAGAGAAGGTTAGAAATGAAGAGGTATTAGAAAGAATAGGAGAACAGAGGATTCTATAGAAGTCAATTAGAAATAGGCGAGATAGGTTAGTAGGAGTCAGAAACGGTAGTTAGAAGGGGTAGAGGTAGACCTAGATTAGATTACTGTTCGCAAATAGTTAAGGATGTAGGTTGTTCTAGTTTTAGGGAAATGCGATGATTAGCCCAGGATAAGAAAGAGTGGAGGTGCGTGACCAACTAGTCTTAGGACTGACGACTTTATGATGATGATAGAAAGTACCCTGTGTTTTTTTCTGAATCCCTGAAAATGTGTGTACAAAATTTCATGATAGGGTTTACCCGCGGTTTTGCTCACGTTGGTGTCCTACATTACATGTGTAACTTGCTCTCTCCCAGGTTGTGGTAGAAAGAGGACCAATATTCCTCCTCTAGCTTCATCGATTCGTGAGGGTAGTTCTGACGAAGAATCAATTGGTACATTGTTCGAATTGAGCGCTGAGCCAGCCGTTGAAGATTTATCACGTCAAATAATGTCGGAGGCGAAATTGTGGGAAGCAATTCGTGAAGCGAACGAAGAACTGACCCGTCAAAAACAAAAATATGCAATGGAAAGTGAAGAAGCGATCCCTGCACGCAGTGCAACTGCTTCATGCGCTTTACCACCCTGCATCATTTAAACTAACACGTAATTCAATTCGACAGTCAATTTTAAAATAATGAATTTGCTCTTTGTTTTAAATGAATAAAATTTTGTTAATCATAATAAGAAACCTTTGGTTGCGTATTACTTTGGGCATATTACAAATGGTTGTTCTCATATGCTCGTGGAAACAAAAAGCAAATTAAAATTAAGAAATATTAAATTGACCTATTGTTAACCAGTAATAAAATAATATGTGCATCCTCTTAAATTTAATAAATTCTATGGGTGTGAATTAAATTATTATATTGTATTTGATAATAAGTTACATTATAGTTGATATTTTGTACAAAATTAATTACTAATTAACAAATTATGAAGCATGCAAGCAAATGTAACAGCTGAACATAAACGAATATAAAAATAACTAGCTACAAAAAAAAAACATTGTGTTAGCTGTCTTAGTACATATTTTTTGTTTCCTTTGTTCTCAATATCACTGACGTAAGGAGGGTTGAAATTTTTCACATTTGCGTATTCAAATGTTTGTTACATTTTAATATCCAAATTATCCGATAACAATATCTGAAATTTTGATATGTGGTGATTTGTTCACTTAATATTGAAAAAATTAGAATACTGGTTAATTTTTATTCGAAAACGAGCTAATTGGAACTACAGACGAACATTTAATAATCTAATTGTCCACTTTAGATTTAAAGGGCTACTTCGTGTTTCTTCTTTTCGTCTCATCGCGTTTCGCACCTTAATAAAATATTACCTGTTTTGATCAATTTTATAATCGTTTTGTACCCTTAAGATAATTTATTAGTTATTGCACCTCCTGAGGGGAACATAACATATTTCTATTTGCATATTATATATCTCCCTGTGATTGGCCCTTATTACTCATAGTAACAAAAGTACCTATTTAAAAGAATTAAAAATATCACGATCCTTAGTTGTTTTAACAAGCCATCGAATTAAAGAGTTAATTATTTGAAATGAAAATAAATAAAAGCTAGTAAAAAAGAATAATAAAAAATATATAAGCTATAAAACGATCATTTTAATCGTGTAAGGTAGAAAATGTTAAGTATTTGGAAATTTAACTATATCAATATCTTATTTCATTTTTTTTTCCCAACATATTTAAAATAGTGATATTCAAATATTTGAATGTCAAAATAATTACAGCCCTAGTGTAAGGGATGCTAAAACTCCTTAACTTCATGCTGATATGTTTTACTTACCATCCTTTAAAAGATGCAACACATGCTTTGGAAATAATTACAAAACTAGCAATTTAGCTTTTCATTTAAACACCTTACCATCTTTTGGTAATCATGTTTGACAAAATTACATTAGTTTAATATGTAGTATATGCAATCACCCTGTATCTTATTATTTAGGGACCACCTTGTATATAAACGTAGGCGGCATAGGAGTATTTACAAATAACTGAATACATTTCGATAAAACATGGTAGATGGCAGCCTTAGCCCCACTGGAAAATTATTTTCAGCGGAAAACTTTCATAAGGGGGCGCCACAGAGTAATTTTTGCCTGACAATAGCTTTTGAAAAGACGGTTTAGCATAACAGATGGCAGAACGCGTTTCTTGATATTTAAAATATTCATTTTTAAGCACTTTATCTTGCTTTTTATTTAAAACATTAAATGCGTGGAACCAGATAAACATTCTGCAGGTCAAATAAAATATCCAAGCAACTTATACAGTCGAAAGTGTAAGTACTGAAAGAGTCGAAGCGATTTTTAAGTTTGTGAAGTACTATACATTGGTACATAAAGTTGTTTTGAGCTTCAATCGATGCCATGGTTGCAGCACATACATTAAAGTTTAATATCAGTTTCGTCAGATGCAATATTGGATACTCTGTCAATAGTCCGATTATTTGCGTGAATAAAGGCAAAATAAAAGTGCCTACGGTAGAGGATTTTGCTGCGGTGTTTTGTGTGCATATTAGGATGCACTATTTTTGTTTTGTTTACCAGGCAGTGTTGAGTTTAAATAATTGTTTATTATAAATAAAAAATCTGCTTTTTTACAAACCTGACAATAACAATAAGTAGAGTTATTTACGTATTTTATTCTAATGCTGTTTCTCGATTAAAAACTCTTTTCCATTTATTAAATCGGAGATAACGATAAGGGATAAAAACTTTATTTGCTATTAAACCAGATCCGACGTTTCGTCAATTATTTTTAGACTTTTTCGAGACTATCATGTATGTAGTTAGTAATAGTACCTATTAGTATTTTTTTTGTGGTTACTTCATCATCATAAGGTCGTCAGTCCTAAAACTGGTTGGACACGCACCTCCACTTTTTCCTATCCTGAGCTAATCATTCTTAATCTTAAGCATTCCCCTAAAACTAGAACATCCCACATCCTTAACTATTTGCGAACAGTAATCTAATCATCTAATCTAGGTGTACCTCTATTCTCTTGACTCCTGTTTCTACCTCTAATATGTATCTGACTAGACTCATCATTCGTCTGTAATACCACCTTTTCTTTTCCGCAGCGCCCACCGTCCATGTTTCGCACCCATACAGCGCCGCGTTCCAAACAGACACCTTTAACAATCTTTTTCGAATTTTTTAATTTACCGTTTGTGAGCATAGAAGTGACTTCTTTATGGTTACTTACTATACATTAATTAAAAACAGATGATTGTATAAAAAGAACAATAAATATAAAGTTTACAAATTAAACACTACGTGATGGACACACATCATCGTTCACAAGAAGGTTTAAAAATAAATACATCTTTATCCCTTATCGTTGACACTGGTTTAACTACTGGGAAACAATTAAAGAAAGAAATGAATATCAAAAAGCTTTTTCTTCTACAGATGCACCGGATAGTGGTTTTTGCTGGGTACCGGATAACCGGGAAAAACACCCTAAAAATCACACTAATGTAAAGATCTCTAAAGTGTCAATAGAATTCTTATGATACGTAAGAATCAAATACAAATATGTTTAAAAAAAATGTTCGTAAAGATTTTCAATTATTTCGTGAAAATCAATTACTTTTGCAGATCAACATCCCAGTCTTAATTTGATGTACATACATATGTAGACTATTCGTTAATTAATCCCAATTTATCAGTAAATTACTTTTGTATGACTTCGGCGATTGAGAAACCAAATGATCGCGTTATTCGAGTTAAACGAGTCTTTCAATTGATTCGCTTTAAGTCACCACTGTTTTTAAATACAAGACAGGATTGTTAAAATATATGTTGGTACTAAACAAACCCCATATACCTATCGATGTTATATTATGTCAAATGAATACTGGATTATTGTTTGTCTAATTACTGTCGTTAGTATGTGAAGCTGTTTGAAATTCTGTTATTTATTTATTCATGTTGTATGCACGCATGTATGTACGTATATGCACATAAGTAAAGGTATACCCAACGGTATTTTCATACGTAAATTTCCCGTAAATACGGGTTTATATAGCGATCGTTTATTCAAATATTAACAACGCACGAAGGCTTGCGCACCATCAAGTAGATTTAACAGGATTACCGTTTACAGTACGAGGATTCTATGAGTCAAATAAAAGGAGTGTGTGTGTGAAAAGAACAAAGGAAGGTAGCATTTAATCCCAATGCTGCATTCGATATATTACAGTCCAACTATGAAGCTTTTCGTGGCAGCAATGGTGTTAATAATTTCGGTTTTAGTTGTTTGTAATAGTGGTAAAAATTCGAGACATAAACGACAAGTATTGGTTTTTCCATATGGGGGAACTTTTAAGGAATGTATTTTATTACATTTTTATTTACGCATTAACTATTTCTTAGGTACTTACATCATATCTATTACCTTATAGACCAGGTTTATTAGAAATTTTGAATACTGGGATATCTTTAGGTATCTAACCATTTATCTAAGTGTTTTGCAGGGTATCTACATGGTTGCGAAAATGTTTGTCCAATCCTCTATCTGCAAAAACTTTTACATCTTTAAGGTTTTAAGTTTCACGAGTCGAAGTGTGAAATGTTAGGACAATGAGGCAAGTAGGGAAAGTAGAAAATTTTGAAGTTGAGATGAATAAAGACGTTACAACTGCAGGGATAGAAATACAGAGACCAAAAGATTAGTATGCTTAGATTTGCACATATGATGTAGAAGTATTAGTATCTAGCAAGGAGGAGTTAGAGATAGCTTTAAATAAACTGGATGCGGTACTGACAAAACAGTACCGTACAAAAAAAGTAAAAGAAAAATACTGGTATACAAGGGAAGAAAAAGTAAGGAAAGAGCGAATGTAAAGATAGGAGACGAAAGATTAGAAGAAGTGGCTGATTTTAGGTATCTAGGAAGTCAGATAAGTCAGGATGGAAGGAGCAGTAGGGATATAAAGCATAGGATGGCGCAAAGCCGAGTCGCCTTCTATAAAAAGAAGTCATTTTTATGCTCGTGAACGGTTAATTTAGAAATTCGAAAAAGGTTGTTAAAGGTGTGTTTGGAGTACGGCGCTGTACGGGTGCGAAACAGGGACGGTGAGCGCGGCAGGAAGGAAAAGGTTAGAAGCGTTGGAGATGTGGTGTTACAGGCTAATGATGAGCATACTGTGGATGGAGAATGTTAGAAATGAAGAGGTATTAGAAAGAATAGGAGAAAAGAGGACTCTATGGAAGTCAATAAGAAATAGGCGAGATAGGTTGGTGGGACACATTCTTAGGCACGAAGGTCTAGTCAGAGACATATTGGAGGCAGAAACGGCAGTTAGGAGGAGTACAGGTAGACCTAGATTAGATTACTGTTCGCAGATAGTTAAGGATATGGAATGTTCTAGTTTTAAGAAAATGCGAAGTTTAGCTCAGGATAGGAAAGAGAAAGATGGAGGTGCGTGTCCAACCAGTCTTACGACTGACGACCTGATGATGAAGGTTTTAAGTTTTTTATATTAGTTAAAGATATCTTTACAGATTGTTTTGGGCTTGAGTATTCCTGTTCCAATAGGTTTACATCAATCTCTAGCTTATTCTGTGAACATACAATTTCTATATGACCTACCGGAAAATAGCAGTACACTTGAATGTTACAGATATCTTCCCACGGTGGAAAAATCCTTTGCTAAAAGAAGCATCAAATATTTTGATAAAGATAGACAATTAGTATATTTAGCGTTGGAGAATATTTTACAAAGGTAAGAAAACAAAGACTGGTTGAATAATAATGAAGGTATTTAGCTGATTTCTTTTAGATATGGTATAAATGGAAAGCAATGCATTTTACAATCCATTTGCCAAAATTCTCAATACCCTCTTTCTCATAATGAAAATGGAATCTTTGGAGAATTATTACACATTTTTTTTACGTGCGTGTTTTTGTTGTATATTATGTATTTAACTCACAGTAATTACATTTGTTCATATTTTAGACCATTTTACAACAATAATAGTGAGTACGCAGACGCATACATGGCAGGAAAATATGGAATTGACTGCAAAAATGAATTTTCCGGTTGTAAATCGCAACATAATCTGTTAAACATGATATCGTTCTTAGATAACGATGAAATCGGTTACAGTTAAGTTATAAAAACAAATTGCTTGTTGACATTGTTTTCCTTAATACTCCAAAGCGTCTTTTAATATTAATTAAGCAGATTTCAATTCGAGTTTTTAAAAGTAAACTTTATTAATTAAATAAGTTTAAGACAGGAAAACGAACGAGAAGGAAACAATACAGATTTTTTAAACTTTTTACGAAATTAAGGTTCTTCTTTTAAGTATTGTTGTTTTTTGAAGTTTAAATTCTGGTTTGTTTAAGTAAACCGTTTTAATCAAGTGTGAAATGGAGAAAAGAACAAGATAAATCGCGTCACTTATGAATTAATTATCCACAACATCTAAAAATTGATTAAGAAACGAAGGAAGATCCCTAAACCGATTAATGAAAATACGCATTTTCTTTCGATGTGGAAACTCTAACTTGATTAATGTCTCTCTCTGTCATTATGTATTTTGACGGTAATATTGACTTTTCTTCGGTAATTCTGTCATAATGAAAATTAATTCAAAAGATATTTGATTTAATGCGCCACTTGTTTATTTGATCAACGATCACAATTAATGTTTAAATATTTATTTTTACAACCAAAACTGAACGAGTCGTTGACAAGTCCAAGAGAGTCACCGAGCGGCTTGGCCTATGTTCTATTGACCCATGCCGTCTAGGATCGATCTATCCGTTTTCTCTGCACATTAGGTACAGATTAATAATAACAAATCGCAATTATTTTGAAAACCGCCAAGAGTAGACCCTAATATGCTTTAATAAAATCGAAAGAGAATTTAATTTTACATCCGACGATGTCAAAATGAATATAGCTTCCCATTTGAAAAAAAAAATGAGTTATTGATGTTTGAAGCGTTTAAAATTTGAATATTACTAGTGTAACGATTTAATGTGCTTTGAAAGAAATTTTTAGATGGAAAGCCAAGTGCTTTTCATTCCCTTTTCAACAGCGATAGTCGTATATTTTTTTCGAGTATTGCCGAGATATTAAAATTTTTGTAAGTTATTACAAACGTCAAATTTTCTAAAAATTACTCCAAAAAGATACCGCTCAGACAAAAACTATGTTTAACAAAATGGACATTAAAATCGATGCTGAATTCAAAAATGCAATAATATATACTTCATTTACTTTCTGTATCGATGAGCCCCTTCCAATGTCTTGGATGCGCGCTGGCAAAATCGTAGGTAAGGAGAAAAACGCTCATTATACTCTCGACTCTTTTTCATTAAACATACTTTTTCATACAGTACCTGCCAAAAGTTTTGTTCAATCATGAATAGTAGTGCGAGTCGAAAACAAGCGTTGAAGCCTTTAACATATCTTCAAATATAAACAAACATCTCGTTGATATTTTCAGTAGTATTTGGTACCAATAACGGCACATTTAAGCAATGCAATTGTAGTGGATAAAATGGTCAATTTTTCCCTGCAGTACTGTACGGATTATACGCTCCTCACCGGTTAAGAGTTAGGCTGAGAGTTGTCTCTCTTCTTTTCTGGCCTGGTGCTGTTCTTTTCTACTTTGCGCCGGTCAAACTGAAGGTCACATCGCTACAGAAAGTAAACGAAGTATACATGGTGTTCCATTTAAAATAAGGTAGCTGATGTATACTTACGGTATATCCGGAAGTCCGCCATTTCTGAAATTATTTTCCGCAGGTGGATCGTTTGACCAGCAACATTTTTTATTGGAAACATTTTCTTCCAATTTCAACGGCAAGACCGCCAGAGTGCAAGGCGCGCTTAACGGACTACCCTGTATAGACTTGCTACAGATTCCTAACTTGAAATTACGAGTTGAAGTTAAGAAATACGTAAACAGTTCTAGATGTTTTTTATTTACAAATATATGTCATTCAGTTTGAAATCAAGTAAACGCTCCAAGTATTACAATAACGTTCGACATTCTTTATTCCTTAAAACTGACAATTTAACCTATTTTACAAAGTGTATTTACATAACGTGTATTTTATTAAGTTGATGCGAACGTCACTTCAGATAAATAACTGGATTTTCGTTTAGTGGAATCTTCGCATGGATCGCTGTGAAAAGTTTCGATAAACTTCGTTCTGCGTTTACCATAATTGATGTTATTGTTGAAATTTGCCACGAGTTCTACTTCTTTCTCTACCTGAAACATAAATGGTTCCGTTTGAGAGAGAATATAATTTTCTCTATCGGTTTAAAAGTTATAAAGACGTCACGCTTCGTTGCATTCGATCTTTGTAATTCGTAATTATAAATCGGATTTCCTCATTAGAATATCTTCACTTCCACAAACGTTTTGAGCTACCACTACGTAATATTACTACAGCATGACGGAAAAATGCAAAAGATGCCGGATGAAAATTCCATTTCATTTGCTCTTCGAGATCTCATTAAAAGGGCCAAAGATAAGAAGAGTGTCAAGAAGTGACTTTATAGGTAGATAATGAAAATACCGTGAATAAAAAAGGTTAGAAATGAGGTGGTTTTGGAATGGGAGATAGAACAAAGGGCATTACAAAAGCTAATAAAAATAGAAGAGAAAAACTGGATGGGTTCCTGGGGCACCCGTTAGGAATGAAGTTTTTTACCCTCCAACATTGTCATAAGGTCATCCATCCTAAAACTGGTTGGACACGCACTTCCACTCTTTCCTATTTTGAGCTAATCTTCACATGCTCTAAAACTAGAACAACCTACATCCTTAACTATTTACGAACAGTAATCGAATCTAGGTCTACCTCTACCCCTCCTAACTCCTGTTTCTGCCTCTAATATGTCTGTCTCTGACTAGACCTTCATGCCTGAGAAGGTGTCCTACTAACCTATCTCGCCTATTTCTTATTGACTTCTTTCTAATACCTTTTCATTTCTAACCTTCTCCATCCACGGTATCCTCATCATTCGCCTGTAACACCTCATTTCAAATATCTCTAACCTTTTCTATTCCGCCGAGCCCACTCTTCATGTTTCGCACCCATAGATACCGCATCGCGCTCCAAACATTCACCTTAACAACCTTTTTCGAATTTCTAAATTAACCTTTCGCGAGCATAGAAGTGACTTTTTTTTTATTGAAGGCAACACGACCCTGCGCTATCGTCTTATTTATATCCCTACTACTCCTTCCGTCCTGACTTATCTGACTTCCTAGACACCTAACAAATGTTTCGTTTCCTATCTATACATTCGCTATTTCCCTACTTTTTCTTTCCTTGTATACCAGTATTTTTGTTTTATTTTTATTTACTTTCATACAATTGTTTTGTAAATACTACTTCCATTTTATTTAAAGCTATATGTTACGTGCAGAAGTTTTGGAGAACTATTAAGAAGTTCACGAACTACCACTTGTACACACGCAACAATATTTAAGTTCTAGGCTTAATCTTTCAGATAAGCACGTAGATTTATCAAATAAATAATAGGAATAAACACCGAACACTTATTTAAGTTGAGGTAACTTCGTCGGTTTTTTATTTATTCAATTGAGTGAGGTTAGCCTACGGCAACACTTATTTAAGTAAAAGGCAAGGTTTACTTCGTTAACCGTTTATTTTGAGTTTCAAGACTACACTAACTAACTTATTTTGGGGTAGGCCCTTTTATTCTTATTTGTGAAGGACTTTGCTTACGTCACTCTAATTACAGTTAGAAAGTAATATTATTATTAATACCTATACGTAACATATATCTAACTCCTCCTTGCTAGACGCTAATACTCCTGTATCATCTGCAAATCTAAGCATACAATTTTTTTTCCCCTTTATATCTATCCCTATAGTTGTACTGTCTTTAATTACGTTGATCGCGTCTTCGATGTATAGATTAAAAAGTAGCGGTAATATTTACTTCTGTACGTTGCACCCCTAGCTCTTTAACTACCTGTTGTTTTTTATACAAACTAGTTAAGTTAAGTTAAGCTGATTGTTCCAAATGTCTCGCACCTATCCGCGCCTCTCTTTAAAGGTATGGTTACTACTACGTTCCGTTTATAATCCTCCGGGACATTCCCCGTCTCGTAAATGTGACTAACTAGCTTAAATGTACGATCTCTAACCTCTTGTCCTGCCTGTTTTAGAATTTCGCCCTGTATCCCATTTACACCCGGCGCCTTATTGTTCTTTAAGTTGTTCAATGCTACATCGAACTCTTCTCTCATTATGGGATAACCATTTCATTATAGGTAGTTCCTTGACTTATCCTGACAATACACTGAATAGTGTATGTCTCAAAAAAGGGAACTCTATATAAATAGGAGTTTCCCGTCGCCTGTCCTTTTTGTTCATGAATTAATTTTTCATTGAGTGTTAAGATAACCTATTTGTTTGTTACATAGTATTCATAAATTCGTAAAGTCACTGGTACAAAATTTGATATATCTAAATTATTTATTTAAAATTGTAAGCTAATCTACTGGGTTGGTAGGTCAATTAGCAACCGTTTAAATAGCGAGTTCAATAACAATCAGGAAAGTTGAATCCAAGATCACGAAAAGTATATAATGCAGGGTGGTAAGACGGTCTGCCGTCTTCACTCACCCTTCTATCTTTTAAGTTCCGAATTGATAGCATAAGCTAGGCCAACATTATTATTATATTTTTAAAGTATTTATTAATTATATTTATGTTTTCTGGTTTGAGTAAATAAACTGTTTTTATCTATTAGCTAGCATGAAATTGTTGACTGAGTTATTCTAAATTATATAAATTCGCTTTTAACATTAGATTAAAGTAATTATACTTCTAAATAAATATCTGTTGCTATATAACAGCTTATACCTTATACAACAATTTTGGTCAACACCAAGTACTGAGAATCCATATAAAGACTCAGAGTTGAATAATTAAGGCATAACGTAAATATTTATTTAGTAAGCACACTTATAGCAGCAAGATTTGATTTTCTAGGTTCGTAATTCAAACAATTTCTGAATATTATATCGTACGTTTTCTGCAAACTCAATCTAGTGCCAGACGCTGTTATTTAGAGATAAAAAATTAAATTTGTTTAAAAAAATAACCACG